ATAATATTATTATATTCTATATCATAATTATATAATATATTATATAAAAATAGTTTTTTTATTATATTAAATATAACAATAAATATATATTATATTATAATTATATATATTATATTATAGTATAATATAATATAGTCGTAATTTTTAATTATCCATAATAATTCAACCTCATAATTTACCAAACGTTATTACACCGATTTTGAAACCAACATAACTATTATAATTATAGTTTACTAAACACTAAGCTGCTTTTTGTAACAGCTACTTTTTCTTTCAGCACAGTTAAAAGTAATTCTAAAATCTACAGCACTATCAAATTAAGCCAAAGTCTTTTGCACAGTTATGTTTAAAAAATTTCCATCACATGTTATTCTTTATTGTTAGACATGCACACATGTAAAACCAATGGATAGGAGACATTCTAGGAGCCTAAGATTATGGACTTCATCAAAATAAATAAATAAATAAATATACGTATGTATGTATAGATTCTAACAGAGATTTAAATCACCGCATAAAATATGGAATAAAGATAATGTTTGAAATAAAACAAAATATGCCTAAGGTGCATCTTCAATCTTAACATATCGAATATGAATCCGAAAATAATGTCATCAACCTTACAAAAAAGTTTATATTCACAGAACACCATTAGAGGAATAACGATAAGATTCTAATTCCCCCCAAAGAAAAGAAAGGAACCCAAGATTCGGGAGCAATTAGACAAAGTGAGAGAATCTAAACTTTAATCCTAGTGGTCACAACTTTGGTAATGCCGAGGGACAAGAAGGTTGGCAAATTTTCGCCCCGTTCACTTCACCGATTCGAGTTTAAAATTCGAGTTTTGCTACAGTAAAAAGCTCTCAGAAACAGTCACATCTAATTTTTTTACTACAGTAAAAAACTCTCACATCAAATCACATCTCAACTCGAATTCTAAACTCGAATCAGCGAAATGAACGAGGCTATGATTCAAGGTTCGTTTTCCTCTTTTCCTTTCATTTAGGTGAAGAAAAAAAACAATGAAGGCTTGCACAAAGAAAAATCAAATACGAAATATAAACAAGAGATACAACAAGTCGTTCATGTACAAGCAGATCAATCAACCCTCTAAATTCACCACATGACGAATGGATCTAATCCCTTAGTTTCTTAAACACAATTCTTTTCACCAACTAAACTTCAAAATCAAGTAGATTCAACAGCCACACAACATTTTTCAATGAAATTCAACAAAACAAAAAGTAACAGTAATTATGTTACAGAACAACTTCACATCCCGGAATCAGAGTCAAATATGTCATCAGATCTTTAAGATTCACAAAACAAACTGACATACGAGAAATCAAACAAACCAGATCTACGAACATTAGACCGAGACTCGGAAGCAAAATCCGTTCATACAACCAGAAACACCGAAAAAGAAAGCAAATCTAAGAGAAATGAAACAAGCAGCTCTCAGACAGAAGAAGATGGAGAAGAAGAAGAAATGAGTACCTGAAAAAGAAAGTGTGAACGAGGAAGAACAGATCTGAGATGAGAAAGGTTTCTCTTCCTCTTTGTTTGGGATTTGCAGGGCAAGGGAGGAACTTTTTTGCTCTGCGACTCAAGGACAAGGTCACCCTTAGCTCCATAGGCTACCTTTTATAGACCCATAATCCCCACTGACCGCTTACCGGACCCTTCGGTTTTCGTTTGAATCCTCCTTTATTATTATTCTTTTTAGTCCCGTTCATTTTGTCAATTCGAGTTTAGAATTTGAGTTTTGTTACAGTAAAAGACCCCGTTCATTTCGCCGATTCGAGTTTAGAATTTGAGTTTTGCTACAGTAAAAGCTCTCAGAAACAGTCACATCTAACTTTTTTACTACAGTAAAAAGCTCTCACACAAAATCACATCTCAACTCAAATTATAAACTCGAATTAGCGAAGTGAACGGACCAAGTTCTCAAAAATAGTCACATTTAATTTTTTGCTACAGTAAAAAATTTTCATACAAAATTATATTTTAACTCGAATTATAAACTCAAATCAGTGAAATGAACGAATTTATTTGTTTTATCAATCGAATCACATTTGCTTTAATTGGTTTATTACATGGGGAATAACGATAAATACGATAATTTGCCAAAAAAAAAAATCAGATGTGTATGGAAGTGAATAATAAGGTTGCGTTTTGAAGCAAAAAAAAGAAAAAAAAAAGAATAATAAGGTTGCGTGAAAAGCAAAAAAAAAAAAGAAAAAAGAAAAAGAGAGCAATAGCCGTTGGATTGTAAGAAAGTGTAGGGATGGGATTGCCGGAAGTTGGTGAGGGAGAGACTATAGAATAGAAGAGAGGAGTGGGGCCTACTTACCTGATTGATTTGACGCTCTCAGTCAGTCCCAAGCTAGCAATATTTTAGTTAGTGTATTCATACGCCTAATTTGTTTTCCTGATTCAAATTTTATTAAAGTAAAAAGTTATATTTAATTTTTTTATTATAATAAAAAGTTTTTATATAAAATTATATTTCAATTTAAATTTTAAATTTAAATTAACGAAACGAACGAGGTCATAATTCATGATTAAGTAAAATATTTTTTTATATAAAAAATACACATAAATTAAGAATAATTTTAAATCATAATTTTAAATTCATGAAAAAACGTATCTTCTTATCTACAGTCCCCCTTTCTATTGTATCTGATACTCTTACCTGGAATCGCCGGTCATTCACCAACCCTAACCGGTTCTCGGCTTCGATGGCTTTTGACCCAAATAGCTTGGCTCTCACAAGTCAAAACTCGTCTCACGCGCCATGAGCCATGCCTCTTTTTATTTTTTTTTTCTTTTTTCTTTTTCCAATTTTATCTATAATCTTTATATGATATGATAAAAATTATTATTATTTATTGTTTGCAAGGTAGGATATGAATTTTTTTTTTACAATATAGTTTTGAGCCTTTTTAAACGTGATAAAAATAAAATGTAACTGTTCAAGACTAACAAAAAAAAAATTGAGTAGAATAATAAGATACTTTTGTATTTACTACAAAATTCTTCTTTTTACATATTTTATAATTTTTTTTGGTAGAATCATATATAGTTAATAATTAAGCGCAAGTCAAAGATGAAACAGAAATGAGGAGTCTCATGCTCACTGAATGAGGACAGCAATTCGAACATTATACTCTGACTCGTCCACAACAGCGATCAAGAGGTCCCATAAAATATGGTACAGGAAAATCTTATAAGCTTTTTGATTCGTTGAGGACCGAGATCTCACAACCTCTATGGTTAGTTTTAACTTTTACCATATAAGAGGTTTAACTTTTTTTTTTCATCTTCCAACCGTATAAAGGAAAAGAAAAAAAAAATCTAGTTAGATACGTTATTTTTTGGGAAATGAAAATTCATTACAATTGTGGTACTTGTGATAAAAAACGGTCAAATATGCAGTAAGAATAGCTATATGTAGCGCATTATAAGTTTTTAATACGGATCTTGACATATCTAACTGTTAAAAGCAAAGTTGGACCCCTCACTTAAGCCTATCACAATTTAAAATTTTTAATGCGGTGTTCTCTCTCAAAAATTTTTAAATTTAACCTTTTTATCACATTTTTTTTACATAAATTTACTTCTTAACTCAAGTTCTAAAATCAAATCTACCAAATGAACACATTATGGCCACATTCATTGCACCGATTCAAGTTTTGCTATAGTAGAAAGTTTTAAGAAATAATTACATCTAACTTTTTTACTACAGTAAAAAATTTTCACATAAAATTACATCTCAATTTAAATAAAAAATTCAAATCAACGAACTAAATTAATCCTATAGTTGTTTCACTAAAGCATCAAGCAAGCGTGAAACATGAGTACGAAGTTTCTATTCAAATACCTAAACTACCCTTGTCCCATAGGAAAAGGGGGTGTTATTTTGGGCTTGTAAATGCCACCGACAATACAGTAGCAACAACAATGTGCTGGAGTTCCTCTTTTTTTATTTTTTATTTTTGGCTGAATAAATGAGCTGGAGATCTCAAAGCACATCAAAGCAAGCAATTACTAATAATGCTTCCATTTACGTCATTTCTTGAAAAGGAAATGAGCTTGGTTATACATGATACATCAGATCCATTTGTCGTATTTAACATATATATATATATATATACATATATAACTATATAATATATATTATATATAGACATAACTATATATATTATATATAGCTACTTTGTTGCATTTACTTTGTGGAAAAAAGTTTCACTGTACTATATTGTATAAAAGTGTTTCACAAAAAGTCTGTTTGGTCTAGTGACACCAGAGTGTTTAAGGCCTCGTTCACTTCGCTGATCCGAGTTTAAAATTCGAGTTGAGTTGTGATTTTATGTGAGAGTTTTTTATTGTAACAAAAAAGTTAGATGTGATTGTTTGTGAGAGCTTTTTACTGTAGAAAAACTCAAATTCTAAACTCGAATAAGCGAAGTGAACGGAGCCTAAGTGGAATAGAATTTAAAGAGAAGTTGCAGATTTAATCACGTGTTAATGCAAAACTTTTTTGACTCTTTAAAAATATTTTTTTTCTCTTCGTTTCTCAAAAATCTTTCCACTTTTACTCCTTGATTGATAGATTGGAAATAATTTTTTTAATCCCAATTTAAATTTCGCAATTCCAATTGCTAATGAATAAGGATAGAACTATTGATATGCCAATTGTTTAAACTTAAACATTATTCAAATACATTAAAATGTAAAAGAAAAAAATAAAAAAAAAATCACGAAAATTGCTATTATTTGTTTTTTAATCTGAGTAAGGAAAATTTGAACGCCACGCTTTGTTATTTAATTATTTTAAAAAAAAATATGTTAATGTGATCATTTTTACAGGAAAAATATCCATAAAAATATCGTACTTGTCGGTAAAATTATTTAGTTGTCCAATGCTTTTGTAGCGTAAAGAAGATTTTCAGGGCTTCACTTGAAAAGCAAGCGAGCAAATAGTAGCTTCGTGTGCAAGGTTGGTTTTAAATATTCCATTTGTCCCATTTTTTTGGGCAATTAAAGAGGAGATTGGCACTACTAGTACACTTGCCTCAGCATCCTCTTAAAAGTTTGGTTGTATAGTTATTGGTTCGTCCTTTATTCATATTGGATTAGAAGTGCTTTATAAAGGAGAAGGCATTTAGGATAATCCAAGAATTCTTCCTGAAAATCTTTTTTTTCCTTGTTAAAATAATTCTGGTAAATCAGAGAAAAAGAAGTTATTGGATTCTCTGCAACAGTCCATCTAAAAAGTATAAACTAATGACGGGCAAACCAATTAAATTATATATTCCTTCGGCTGAGAAAAATAACTAAGATGTAGGAATTTTTCAATGTCTTATAAAATTTTAAATCCTATTTTTAAGTTAGGAAAAGAAGGAAATGACAGAAAGTAAAAAAAAAAGAAAGATTTTGAGGTGGGTTTGGTCAATTGTGAATAAAAACACAAGTGTTCCATGGTAATTACAAAAGAAAGAAACAAAGACTGGGTAGTTTATAAGAGTATTGGAGTGGTTTGAGGGGGAGAGTGACGTGGTGAGTGTTTGGCTATCAACCAAATTGACGTCTGCAATTAATTGTTTAATTTAATAACATTTTGGTTTGAAGATTGAGGCCTGTGGATCAATTGTGGAAGTTCAGCTGAACACTCTCAACTCTCAAGTGCCAACACACCAACCCCCACCAACCCACCAACCAAGCTCAAGCCTGACTCAAGCCATTGAAGCCAAAGTCATTTGCTATGGCTACTTTGATGACGTGGCCGCAACTATGCAAAAGATGGCATGGCTTTTGGTGATAATTTGACATACACCTATGCAAAAGAGGTTATATGATTACGTAACAAAAACTTAAAAGCAGGGAAAAAAAGAGAGGAGATTTTCTCTAATAGACATCTCCTGATAGTATTAGTTTCTTACCATTAAATTTAATTAAAAACACATTAAATTAAAAATTATGTAAAATATATAATTATTAATACATATTTAATGACTGAAAAATAAAAAATTATCATTAGTTTTTTTTAACACTACTAAAAAAATTTATGAAAAAAAGTAAAAAAAAAAAAAAAAAAAAAAAAAAAAAAAAAAAAAAAAGAGAGAAGTGGGGGCAGTTGGGATTTGTTAAGGAGAAGATATGGGTGCGGTTGGCACCCACAGGAAGTAAAGAAAGTAAAAAGGCTTTCGATTGGACTTTTTTACAGCCACAAACAAGGCTTTTCCCAAAAGATTGGGGGTGTACGACAGTGTAGTGTACTCCTCTGTAAACTAATGGCACATGATTAGCAAAAAAATAAAAATAAAAAAATAACTGGCACATACCGGTTGTGGGCAGTTGGTGGGACGACTTGTCAGCGACCCGTGTCCAGAACACAAATTATATGTTAAGAAAGGGTTCTACATTTGAAATCATTTATGTCGTTGATCATTTTTCAATTCAATGCTAAATGTAAATGAGATTACCATTTATAACTGTGTGAGGCTTTATGTCATATTTATCAAGTCTTTACATTTGAATTTGTGATGGGTTAAAACGACCTATACCAACAATTTTGTCTGAGTAATACAAGTTAAAAAGAGTAAAGAATATATATATATATTCTTTTTTTTTTCCTCAAATACTATGGCCATATTTTTTTTCCTCAAAACTACGTACCTTAATTAGTCACATAACCATTTACATATATAACAATTTATTATAGCTATCAGATACATATATTAGACTCAACAATAATACTTTTTGTCATGTAACTCTTTTATTATACTATCATATATGTAACGATGTATCACTAATAATAATAAAATAGTATTTATTATTATTGTTATTATTTGTTATTGTTGTTATTTAGATAGTATTAAAGTTTCCGACTTTAATCTTAATTTTTTAATACCAAACCACCTAATAGGTAAGATATCATTTTTTTTAATTTTATTAATGAAAGCAATTTTTTAAAACTAATTGAGATAACAAGTTTCTTTAGACACTTACTAATAAAACAATAGCAATTTACATACTAGTCGAGTTGCTAAAAAATAGGACCCCGAGTTATGTTTTTTTTTTTTTTTTTTTCGAGCTTCTTATAGTAGATACTCTCATTGCTAGTTCATATTTCTAAAAGTTAGATTGGGTTAAAATCAAATCAAGATGAGAATATATGTAAAACTGATAATATAGTTATCGTTGTTGAATATTAAAGTCATCACTTTGGCCCCCGGGCCGCCCCTCCCGCCAGGGAAACGAATGATTCTGGTGATTATGAACATCATCTGCACATCAGCGTGGATGTCTCTTATTTTGTTCACTACTCGGTTGGATTTTGTATCTAATGAGTCTCTATTGTCTCAGTCCACTCGTTTATTATTATTTTTTTAATATTTTTTTTTCACTTGTGTAATCTCAAGAGTTGGCCATACGTTTTGTTGGCTGCCTTGTTGATGCGAGCCTCATGTGCTCGGATCCCACAAATGAGGCCATTAACAACCAAAAAAAAATATCTATTAGGGGTTTTCTAGTTAATTAAACACACACACACACACACAAAAGGTGCCAATTCGATAATACACCTAAATCTTTAGAATACAATAATGCCATCACTTCATCTCTACCAGTATTTTAATAGACTTTAAATGAATGGCCCCACCATGTTTCTGTATAGCACACCAATTTTTTCTAGTGATAGTAACCAATTGGTATGTTATATATCTTTCAACGCCAACTGGCTCTTTCCAAAACAAAAGGCGGTGTAAGAATAGGCAGTTTTTATTTTTATTTTTATTTTATTTTTTTTTTAAAAGAAAAAGTAAAAGCGTAAGCCCCATCCAATATCCATGTCGTCGGTGATCTACGCCCTTATGTTTTCAGGCATCACATGAGAAATGCATACTTCAAAGGAGTAAATATGCACCGGTGAGGTGATGAAATACTATCGGTCATTAACTAACTGTCACCAAGTTGGAAACTTGCTACGTTCCATTTGGTCTCCGATAAGTACTATTTGCCACGAAGTATTAACAAACTTCCCATAATGTAATACTAAAAAGAAAAAAAGCAAAATTATGTTGCGTGTAGACCCTAAGTAGATTGCAAAAGTTTCTTTATATATAAACTAATATATGAAAACATCGGGTCAACCAAAAACTCAGCGACAGATACATCCCCATGTTATTGATTTGGGCCAGCGATGGTATTTCGTGGCTCGGCTTCTGCCTTTGGAGTCAGTCCCAGCCCAATGAGCCAATGATGGGTGATCCTTTGTACTTTCAACCATGGCTCAATGAGGGCACGAACCAAACGACAATCCCTTGTTTATCAGAACAAGCTTCTAACTTGTTACACCATCATGACAATGATATGTAAAAGAACAAGGCCGAAGAGTACAGCTGTGGGTGGGGCCATGGAAAATGCAAAAACCAACTAAAAAGTTAAAGCGGTTTTAGGAAATGGGAAAGACGCTAGTATAATTCTTGTAAGCTCGGATTGCGTGCGGGGTCAGGGGGCTGTAAAACTCCATTGATTTGAACAAAATCTAGAAAGGCGTCTGTGATAGGATGAGGAGCTGAATTGGATACTTTAAATCGGAGCCGTCATTACGTGAACCAATCAGGAAGAGGATGAAGATCCACATAGATACAATGGTGGACCTCACCAGCTCCTATATAAAGAAAGGAACCTCATATCCCACATTCAGTCACAAGAAAAACTCTAAAGCTCATAAGCACCCACAGAGTCAGCTTCAAAAAAAGGTCTACAAATGGCAACAATGGCTCTGTCATCTCCATTCACAGGAACCACAATTCCTTCAACAGGGCCCCAGTTCTCGGCTGCCCAAAGCAGTGGTAAAGTTTCAATGAGGAAGACAGCAGGAAAGCCTGTTGCTTCATCTGGAAGTCCCTGGTATGGCCGGGACCGCGTCAAGTACCTTGGACCATTCTCTGGCGAATCACCATCTTACCTAACCGGCGAATTCCCTGGTGACTATGGGTGGGATACCGCGGGGTTATCTGCAGACCCTGAAACTTTTGCCAGGAATAGGGAGCTTGAGGTCATTCATTCCAGATGGGCAATGCTTGGGGCTCTGGGCTGTGTCTTCCCAGAGCTTCTTTCAAGAAATGGAGTCAAGTTTGGAGAAGCAGTTTGGTTCAAAGCTGGTGCTCAGATATTCAGTGATGGTGGCCTTGATTACCTTGGAAACCCAAGCCTTATACACGCACGGAGCATTTTAGCAATATGGGCAACCCAGGTTATCCTCATGGGTGCTGTGGAGGGTTACCGCATTGCAGGAGGACCCCTCGGAGAGGTGTCTGACCCTCTGTATCCAGGAGGCAGCTTCGATCCTTTGGGGCTAGCAGATGATCCTGAGGCATTTGCAGAGCTCAAGGTGAAAGAAATCAAGAATGGAAGACTTGCCATGTTCTCCATGTTTGGTTTCTTTGTACAGGCCATAGTAACCGGAAAGGGTCCTCTCGAGAATCTTGCTGACCACCTCGCCGATCCTGTTAACAACAACGCATGGGCTTACGCCACCAACTTTGTACCAGGGAAGTAAAAACCACCTAGTCACATCTAAAGACGAAAGCAAGAAAACCACCCAAAAAAAAAAAAAAAAAAGAGGCTGCCCATTCTCTTCATTCCATGTAACTTGTGTTCATTATATGCATATTGAAGAAAAGTAACATGCTACAATTGGAAGGAACCATAAATGTCATGTAAACGACACTTCACAACTCGGATTTGTAAGCCAACCTGAAATTTACAAATTTGGATGTCCTCAATCTAGCGTAGATACAGGCCCCTTCTCACCGAGGTCAGAAATCAATATGGTGTTTTAGGATCTTGAAACTGAAAAAGAATAAATAAATTAAAGGAACCAATTAATTGAAGACAACATATAACGTAGACTTTTTGGCAGACGGCAGACCAGTTTCTGGGCAATAAAAGATACCCATGATAAGATGCCAGAAATGGAGGATAAAAAATCAGCAAAACGACCTTGTTCTCTTACACACATCAATTCAGGTTAGAAGATGCAGAAAACTCAGCCATTTGCATTCCTCTTCCCGCTACTGCAATCTGATAATAGCCCCTGGATTAAAACAAAAATTTCGTGATACAGAAGTTTGTTAATTATATGACAAAATACTAAACATTAGGAGGAATGTTCAAGTGGTACTACATAGGCACTCTACTCACCTGCTGCAGAATCTGGCATCCAAAGCTTCTGGCTCCGGCACACTAATGATCATAGTGGCATACTCAGTTAGTCTACCTTGCCCCTCAAGACGCCAGCACCGGATACGCTGATCAAGACCGGTAGAAAACACCCAAGAGCCGTCTGTCCAGATACCTTCATAAGATTAAACTTGGTAAGACAATGGAACCTAGAAGTGCAATAAGCATACTCTATCAGCTTTGATCTACTAAAAGGTTCAACTGAGATTTTACCTTTTACAGCAGAGGTATGAGCTGAGAGGACTTTATCACGACTTAAAAATCTGATATTACAATTCCGGTTATGGTTTTGGCAGGACTGAACAAAGTTATCCGCATCTCCAAGTCCAGTGACTGAAATTTTCATTTGCGGCGTGCTTACTTCAGCTTCCTGTCCTGCTAATGGCAATGCCAATTCAAATCTAAGGCAGTGCAGGGCTTGATCATCACCCCCACTAAGTACATGGTAAAGAAAACCACTGTCAGAACTCTGGCAACCTTTCACATCTGAAACGTGAAGACAATTGACGCCGGATTGGTGAATGCTCTCTAATACATGTACAGGACATATTTCACATATCTCAGATGAGGAATCATCCGCAGACTTATTGGAGGCAACATGAATAGCTTGAGAAGAAGCCATTGTGCTATTTCCTGAACTATTTTCCCTTGATAAGTTTCCATGTGTAACAAGATTTAGGAAATCTTGACAAGCACCCACTCCAGATCTTACGGTGATTGATTCCATCTCTCCGCTGTTTTTTAACATGCTGCTGCCCAGGGATTTCCACCATCGTCCACCCTGACTCCCCCTTCCTGTTCGTGGCCGTTTCTGACAGTCAATGAACTTCTCCACATGAAGATCCGATATTCGGTGCATGAAAGCTTCAACACTGCCAGTTACATCCCAGAAGGAAATACTTCCATCAGTAGCTCCACTAATGACAATATACACATTTCCACATTGAACGTTCTCTGTGAATGAAATGTATAACAAGCCAAAAAAAAAAACAAAACGATTCATAAATTTAGTACGTACATCATGAATATTCATCACTGCAGGCTGCAAATACTAAAAGGAGAAAGATTCAAGTAAATGGCCGCTTGGCCTTATAGATATCTCCTCAACAGATAATATTATTGACATACAAACTGAAATAGGAGTTGTACACGTGTCCTAATATTATTTGTGACAGCAGCAATAGAAATACTAGAGTCGGAAAAGTGATATATTCATAAAATAACAAAGATCATATTATCCAAAACTTACACCTGAGTATTGGATAGACTTTTATATATAGCTGAAGTACTTTCCAGATAGACGTGATGTTAACCACAAAAATATGAAAATTATTTGTGTATTTCCTGATTATCCCAACTTACTGACTTGTATAATTTGGTGATATTGTGCTAATGCTCTAACTACTTGAGATGCAACTGATGCACGGTAACCTGCTAAACTCTAAATCCTGAAATTTCCAAAAAAGGGCTCACCTTTAGAAGGCAGACATGTGGGAATAATGACATGCTGCAACGCTAGAACTGGTGATGATAGAGGTACCAGCAATGCCACATCAAACCTACAATGTGATGAGAGACAGAAAAGAGAACGTCAGTATGATAAATGAAGTAAAAATCACTGGCTAATACAAATCACTATGTGAAGTGGTGAAAACAAAATATAAGTTCCTTATAAGTACCATAATCTATAGGGCAAAACTAGAGCACGTAATGCTAGTGTGGCATCTGAACAAGCGACAACAACAAAACAGACAGTCAACCTGAAAGGAATCAAAGAATAAAAAATTTTGCATTAGACTCAAGATGAAAATCATAAGCAAAACAAAAGCATTATGAAGTTCCAACCACCTGGAACCAGCACATTTAACAAGAAAAGCAGTGACAGCCAGGTATCTCCAATCATCTTCACATTTGGCTCTATTGTAGGATTTCAACTGCATCTTCCCCTCTTCAGTTTCTACATCAGCTTTAATACTAGATGTATCCTCAGCTACACCATTTAGCTTTCCAATGTTTGCGGCATATTTGTTAGAACTGGAATACTTTGGTGGCATATCAGTAGAAAGCCACTGGAATGTCATAGAAGATGATGTTTCCAATAAACTACGATTTCCCGTTTCATTATGTTGCTCTCCAGCAAGAGTGTGTTCCGTCTTGGATAACTTCCTATTTCTTAGTACCCAAGAAGTTAGGACCCGCTTTGCACCGACGGAAATCAATAGAAATGGAAACTCTTTGCCCTCTTCAGAGAAATCTTGTCCCTTTCTACCATCAGGTACGTTGGTCATATCCGCTGAAAGTACATGTATCTTTGATACAGAGCATATTGACCTCACTGCTGATCCGCCAACATGCTCCCCCAGCAATTTTGATTCTGACCAACTTTCAAAACCTGCAGAATACCTACGTAAACCATTTGACAATCAGCAATCCGTGCAAAAAAAAAAAAAAAAAAAAAATAACAGCCACAT